TAAAAGTTAAATTCCTATTTTAAGAGATTCATAATTACTAAAATTCGAGCTAAACTTTAAGATATCTTCGTACTACAAAATTGATACATTTTATTTTACATATTTATTTAAAAACTGGAAAACAATTGTCTTGAAATTTACTAAATGTTCACAATAATAGATGTTTACATTTTTTCCATAGGACAACTCTGCCGCGTGCACACGTGGTATACATCAGATGTAGCGTTAGATTAAGCGCTGTTGTCACGTTGTAATGAAACTCCCCTATATTATTTGTTCATTTATGATTACTCTATCTCATGCTGAAGTAATGTCAGTCAAGCTTCTTACACCCTGTAGACCGGTTTTGAATCTATTAGTCCTCATCAATATAATGAAAAACAGATGAACAAACTAGTTATTTGGATGTCTGTCTACCGACATTATGTTGTGAAAATAAAAATTCACAAAATTTACAATAGTACCATAGAAAGGATTTAAATATTCTCACACAAATAATTTGAAAGCCCTTCACGGGCTGATACCATGGTTGTTAAATTCTTTAGTCAAAGGGTATAACCTAGACACCCCATTTATTTTAATCATTAAAGATTAAAAATGAACCCCATTATCTTCGTAATATTGCCTAATACACGCTACTATAATAGAAATATACAGGTGTAATTTAAGTACGCAAAAATATCTCAGAAGGTTATTCCTTGGATCGATTTAAAATGAAGTATTCTTACGAACCCATGTCCTAAGCGGCTTCATTTTTGAAACACACATTTAAAATATTTCAAAAATGTTCGTTAAAATAATTGACTTAGGCCCGGTACTTTGAGTCTTGGTTAAAACTTGATTAACTAATGATGCGATTAGACTGTGAATATACTATTGTAACTATTGTACCGGCCCTTAAACTTGAACCAGTGACTTCACAATATTCAATTCACACTGTACTTGTACATAGTAATTACGTTAATCAGTAGCGGAGATACCAGGAGACATTGCTTTAAGAACTCTATTGAATTTCGACGCTACTGAGTATTTTGGAATCTCCACCATTTTAATTACAATTGGAACTTTTGACTCTGTTAAAAAAAACGACCGTAACTTCAAAATTTAACTAGAATTGAACAGCAAACATCTATAGGAATTTCTTGTTAGAAACACAGTTAAAAAAATGTAATCATTAAAAGTACAAAATAATTACTGTTGTAGACATTAGTTATTTATTTATTTTTTGGAGCAATATTAAGAAATTTATATTTATAACAAAAAATCCCTATATGGTTTTAAGCACGATATAACTAACCATATATAACCATATCTACAAGTAAACGGAAATTGATAAGACAGACTGCACTTAATTAATTTAATTAATAACTAAAGCAAAGTAATATGTTAGTATAAGAAATTTAAAATCCAATTGTGATTATGTACCAAATTTCGTAAACATTTTTTCAAGGACATTGAAATATTTGAATACTGATTATGCAAATCTATTATAAAATAGGTTCACTCTAATGATCACAACTTGTAGAATGAGAAGCATATAAGATGAGCTGATTGAATATTTTTGGATTAGAAACTGAAAACCTAGTTGCAATGTACTATTTTATTTGTCTGAAATTTTAACCTTTTTTTAGTCTACTGGGATCTGGATTTTTCCAGAATGATCACAAAAACATTAAACAATACTATTTTTATGGTCGGACAACGCAAAATGATCGATTTCCTGTAATGAAGAATCATGTAGAACGTCAATGCGTTTGAACAGGTTATTGTTAACTATGCCCAAACCAAAGTTTGAGGTCACCAGATCAGATTTTGTCTATACTACGAATAAAATGCCTTGTAAAAATTATTATATTATTGTGGTCCTTCATTTTATGCTAAAAACTGTTCTAATAATTGTAATGTACCTATAAAAACTATTTTCGTGTAATTCCACAAAAAAAAGAGTATACTTATATAAGTTTTATTGCAGTAAAATTTAATGACATTGTCCTATTGAATTCTACTATTTATGTCTACCTCTGTGTTTGTAGTTGAATGAAGTATTGTGAAAATATTTACAAAACATGTTTTCAATATTGTATCTATTTAAAATTCTTTATAGAAATTTTTCAAGGGATCTTGAGATAGATCCGACTTTGACATGCACAGTAGAGTTCTTTGTAGCTTTTACGCCTTTATCATTATTGGTTAGTTTTAGTTGGCACATATACAGTCATGTAAAATATTGTCCTTGGTATCCACCATGATTTACTCAGTCAGGATTGTACAAAATTGTACAAATCAAAATAAACGGATTTGCTTGAAAAACTGGGTGATATCAAAATGTCTATTTGCAAATAAAAAAAAATCCTATACACGCGTGTTTGAAAATATCTAATTTTCGAGGTAGAGATTAGGTAGTAGATAAAAATTAGAGAAAAAATGTGATTTACTTCAAATTGATACATTTCTAAATATAGGACCGTCTGTTTTTCCATTTTCCTGAGATTTCAATGTACTTAAAAAAGTTGGCATTTACGGGACTAAGTACCTTTAAAGTTGCATATCTTGAACAATAGAAGAAAATCAATGAATTCTGATTTCAACAGTCTATTGACGTATTAATGTATACCAATAATAAATTAATTCCTCTAAATATTATAAGCGAAATAGTTTTAGTAAAAGTTAAAAAATCATTCTTGATCAAAAACTTGTTTCAGTCACTGTGTACTTGCCCATGTTGCCCTATTCTGTCGTTACAGTACCAATAGTTCGTTATGAAATACCCTGCATATGTATTCAATATTACGAAAATATCAAAGTGAAAAGTATTTTTTTTCAATTTTGTACTCACATATCGAGTGTCCCAAAATTTACGCAACATTTGAATTTTTACGATAAAGTGTTGCCAACGAAAAAAAAAAGACAGCGTGATAGCTGACAGTTCAGGGTTATTAAAAATCGAGCGCTACACGAAAGAACAATGCACTTTCATTGTTGAGAAATATTATAAAAATAACGTAAGTTTTGGCAGCCGCAGTTTGCAATTTTCGTACAAAATATGGTCGGAATAGTGATTTAACATCATCAACTGTGAAGAGATTAATTGAAAAATTCAAGGAAACTGGATCAATTAGTGACAAAACATCGAAGCAGTTCGTGAAAGTGTTGCTGAGAGTTCAGGAACATCAAATCGGCACCGTGGTCAAGACTTGGACATTTTGAGAAGCTCTCTACAGCGTATTCGAACCAAAGATTTACATCTTCATGTTTGCAAAGTTCAATTGTCGCATTTGGAGTTCAGAGAATCCAAGAGTATTCTTGGGAAACAAGTGTATCCACAACGTGTCACTTTTTGGTGTGGATTTTGGACTGGAGGCATCATCGGACAATTCTTCTTCGAAAATGCAGCTGGTGTGGCAATAAGAGTTAATGGTCGCGATATGATAATCTAGTTTTTTTAATAACTAAATTGCAACATATGGATATAGACGACATGTGGTTTCAATAAGACGATGTCACATACCACACAACCCGAGAAACAATTCAATTACTGCATGAGTTATTCCCTGGTCGTGTAATTTCCTCTTTTGGTGATCAGAATTGGCCGCCAAGATTATGCGATTTAACGCCGTTGCACTTTTGTCTTTAGGGCTTTTTGAGGTCTAAAGTTTATGCCAACACCCCCGTGACTACCCTCGCCAAGGGGAAATTGAGCACTGTATTTGCTCGATACGCTATTCAATATATAACTCTATACTGTATAATTTTATGAATGACAACAACTTGTGTTTTCTATAGAAAATTACTTCCTGCATGAATTTTGGGACACGCGTAATTTCTGCTTTCTACTGAAATTTTTAATCTTTTACATTTTTTTTTTATTTTTAACAATCGAATATGAATTTTCTATTTAATTCTGCATGTTTTTCAATAGTGTCAAAACATTCCTTATAATGAGGATATTTTCTATTTGTGATGTAAGATCCAAATACTATCTTATTTTTTTTCTTTGGAGTTGTCCAGTTACTTTTTTTTGTTATTTGTTTAACATAAAATTAAATTAACTACTGCTCGATTTATTGAAATTAACTTTACCGAGATAAATTTAGATACATTTTTTCTGTAGGTATACCTAATTATTGTTCTATTTGAATATTGAAAAAAATACAAAAAGAATTATTGCTTCCCTGTTAATATATTTATAGTGTAAATACCATAAAAAGGAGAGAATAGAAACACTTTTCGAATTCACAGCTGGGTAACACAGGTAGTAGTAGACTTTTCGAAATACAAAAATATGCAAAATATGTATTGTACTTAATAGAAGGATTGCATGTATCATAGTTCTATGTTTCAAGTAACATTTATCTTTAAAAAGAAAAGAGGAAAATGTATTTTTTTATTCCGCCTAATATTGGGGTGAATAAAAAAAACAGTGATTTATTTTAGGCGCATTTTGCCTTAATTATGGTTCAATAAAAGCAGTGCAATTGTTTCAAAAAATAATAAGATATTCTAGTAAACAAATAGTTATTATATCATTACTTTGCTTCACAGGAAATATATTTTTCCTCTTTAAATATCGGAAAATTTCAAGATTTGCTAATGGAAAAACTTGCCCAAAGTATTTAGAATTTCTTGAGAGTAAGTTTGGCTAAAACTTAAAATGTTCTCAAGTAAAGTTTTTCTGTTATAACATGTGAATCATAGCAATATGTCAGTTTTACTAATATTAAGATAATTAGAATTCCTATACACATATTCACACATAACATTTATTAGCTATTTTTACAAGCTTTTATTATTGCATAAAACAACTTGTAGAGGAATAAAGCCAATCATGGGAATTAATTATTACTTTATTTCTATTTGCTCCTATGTTATTATTAATTTCCTCCCATCCACGGCAGCTTAACAGTAAAGAAAAAATGGTGACATGCAACACAAAAGTGAAAAGAGCAAGTGCAGTTGTCTAATATCGATAAAACTAAAAAATAACTACCTACAACACTCACAAATCATTTCGTGTACGTTATTTTTCACAATAAACCGTTGTGTTTGCTATCATTCGCATAGATCGTCGTGTTCTCCTCGAAACAAAACATATTTTTCGTCGTTCAGCGATGTGAACAGCAGCGTAGGATGCACAAGTTTGATAAAGTTTGTAGTTTGAAAAAGGATATAGGTTTCAAATGCTATAAGCGCCTGCTTATTACCCTGCACGCAACGTGAACAACACTGAAAGCTGCCATTTACCAGTTAAAATATGATGTAGCCAAAGGAAGATGTATATGGTGAGCTAAAAAATATAATTCTATACATACTACAGTGTCAGAATTAATTATTTATGTATCATTTGAGAAAATTTTGTCGACAATCAGTCGGCATTTAGAAAAATGTAATTTCACTAAATAGTTTCTACTTAACAAACATTATTCACGTGATTTCCTTTAATTGTCAAGTTTTACACCTTAGAAAAATGCCCAAACACTTTCTTAGATACCAACATGCACGATAGTCAGTTGTTTCTAAGACACAATTAATTTCTTTCAAATTTTTTACTTACATATCTATCTAAACGTCAATAAGTAGCAGAACTGTATAGTTTCCAAGAATACTTTAACTTTATACAGGGTGGCATAAAAGTATGGGAACCCCAAAAAATCTCGTGATATATGCATTTTCCGGAAAAACCAAATATAGGGAAAGTTAGGATTTTTCCCTGGCTATTCAATGGTGACTATGCCATGACCACTGACCACTGACCACTGACCACTGACCACTGACCACTGACCACTAGGTCATTATGGGGTCAAGACAATTTTTTTAAATGGGAATCCCCTTTTTGACCCCGGAAATGGAGAGAGCGGAAAATTTTACGTTCAGATATGACCATTAAAAAAATTTCAAAATGGCGGCGAAATCAAGATGGCAGACAAAATTATCACCAAATTTTGTATACGGAAGTTTTAGAGGTCACTGATCACGAATCTGAAGTCGAATTTAAAAAATCAAGATGGCGGATCCAATATGACGGACGATTTTTTTCGAAAACCGATTTGCACCAAACGTTGTATCCGGGGTTTTTGGGGTCACTGATCACGAATCCGAAGTCAAATTTGCAAAATTCAAGATGGCGGATTTAAGATGGCGGATGATTTTTTTGAAAATCGGTCGATTTGCATCAAAGATGGTATACGGCCGTTTTTGGGGTTGCTGATCACGAATGTGTAGCCAGTGACCCCCAAAACCCCCATATATCAAATTTGGTCCCCATTGATTAAAATTAAAAAACCCCATCCACCATCTTGGAACCGCCATCTTGAATTTTGACCACGTAATTGGTCAGTGGTCATGGCATGGGCACCATTAAATAGCCAGGAAAAAATCCTAACTTTCCCTATGTTTGGTTTTTCCGGAAAAGCATATCTCGCGAGATTTTTTGGGGTTCCCATACTTTTATGCTACCCTGTATATTCATGCAGAACAGGATTTTTAAATATTAGACAGGGTGGTCCATAATGGTTGGATCATAGATTATATGCATAAAAATAATGAAATTTAGCCAAATATGCCTTAATAAAATATTGCTTGTTTAAGATATACAGTGTGTTAAAGATTTAATTTACATTTATTATTTATTCCATAAATTTTATTTTTATTGTAAATTTATTGTTGGTTGGATAAAATAAATGTTACTTGGATTAGTAAATAAATCTTACAAGGCGTGGTCAGAAAGTTTGCTTGCATTAAATTATTCAAGTAGGAATATCTTGAAACTGGGGAGGTTTATCGATATCAAGCAAGTATACCTTTTTCCTTTAAAAATAATCAGTTAATCATATTTTTTATTCAAATTTGCGTAGAGGGTTGCATAAAAGAATTACGATGGGCAATTTTTATTTGGCCCTCTATTAGTAACCTGATAAATGAATTCAAATATGAATAACCCGCCATCAAAAACTCCCATTCCCAGTTTTCAAGTCCTTTTCTCTAAAACTGTAAAATTGCGCAAATAAATTATGAATAATTAAAATAATAAAAATAAATCAGTTTTAAATAATTTATTTTAAAACTGTTCTGATGGATTTCTCAATCTTTAATTGTGCATACACACTAGTTAGTACGTGTAGAATTATATTATCTACTTTTTGAAATTTGATCAACAACCCTAATTTTATTTAACAAAAACGGCATATCTGGCCTAAAATGCTTTTTTCACACAGTATTTTAAAAATGTTAAGAAATTAGGATTAAGGAAGTTTTGAGTTCTACCAGTATAATGTGAAATTTTAACATAAATGAAAATATATTATTCCTAATTTGTAGATCAAGCCATTAAATTGAGCGAATAAACTTTTTGAATTACGCGCTAATGGAGATACTTACTGATATCCGGTTGACAGCATTGCATTTGACATAACCTCCTCTGTAACCACATGTTATTGGATTGTTGATATATCATTTAGCTTTCGTGATATTGTTATTTGAGTGCAACATGTTTAAGTTCAACTTTTGAGACAAGCTTACGGAAGTGATGCTCTGGATCGTAAGCAATGTTACGAATGGTTTTCAAGATTTAAAAGTGGTCGTCAGTCGATTGAAGATGATCCTCAACCAGGAAGATTTTCGACTTCAACTGATGACTCCCACGTTCAGAAAGTCTCCACGCCGCAAGAAAGCACGTCAGTCTCCATCCAATGTCAAAGTGACAATGCGTCCGCACACTCAGCTTTGTCAACAGATTACTGTTCTTTCCCACCCTTCTTACTCACCAGACCTGGCTGCTTGAGATTTGTTCTTATTTCCAAATTAAAATAAGTGGTGGAAGGACGCCGTTTTCGAACTATTGATGACATCAAAACAATTTCGTCACAGACTTTAAAGGCCATTTCAAATTAAGCTATCCAGGACTGCTTCGCGAAATGGAAACACCATTGGAAAAAGTGTGTGATTAGGGAAGAAGAGTACTTTGAAGGAGACAAGGACCAATAATGTATAAAATTATTAATAAAATTTAAAAAATAAAGTTTGGGTAATTTTCGGAACAGACCTCGTATAGGTTATTACCCACATAGCTTATTCCACGTTTGTGTTTTCTATGAAGCTCGCAGATTTCATATTTTTATATGACCAAAATAGTACATTTTGAAACAGCAGAATATTTTTTCGAAAAAATTGATTTATTCCCTTTTTCACTAGAGCCTCTTCAACTGAAGTGCATGATACAGTGTTGTACATTTTTTATTTATATGTTTTCTCAATGTAAGGTTATTGGTTAGGCAAAAATAGTTGAGTAATCCTTTTGACGACAGTCGAATAGTGTGACGTCACATATCCTCTACAATAATTGCAGCTAAATATATAATTATTATATATTTGGCAGGTTTAGCAAGTACTTACGGAAAATGTACAAACAAGTTATAGATTGGAAGTTGCTGAAGATCCCATTCAGCGTATAATAGTCGCCTTTTTATTGCCATTAGACATAGATGCATCCACATACTGCTTTTCATTTGTTGCGTTTTTATATGTTTTTCGTCTTCATTTAAAAGAACTACATATAATAGCAAGTTTTTCAACTGAGAAATTGAAAAATTACATGAAAAATTGAAAATTTTTTAACAATTATCTTCTACTTGAAGCACAAATGATTTTAGTTTGAAGCAGGCCCGGAACCATCACTGCAGTGTAGACATTACAGTGTGGGATGTTAACGACAATTGCCCATGTTTCGAATCCAACACTATTAAATGCCCGTACGCACAGCGCATTTCGGGGAACATGAAGTCTGTTCCCACAAGCACCAGTTAAAAAATCGCAATTTTCACGCTTTCAAACGCCAAAACGATCACGGAGCCGCAAATACCTCCAGACACACTCGGCTAGAGAAGACGACATCCAGAAAACCAATAATGTTGGCTCTGGCAACCATCGCAGGACGCCTCCAAAAAAGAGAGACTCATTTCCGAATTTCTGCCACGATATTTCAGCTGGAAGACGAGACCAAGTTACCTTACACAAACCAGATCCCATGGGAGGTCGAGGCAAATCCAAAGATCGACCAAATCCAAAGAGTCCAGGTGGTTAAAACGACGTCGAAGATCCATTTCAAGGCCTGGCGAAGCCATCCCGAAACGGGTTCGACCTGGTTTTCCCTGGATAAGTAACCAGGGTAACGTTCCTGGACAGTATCAAGTATTTACGATCTCAATCGTTCAATAGAATAACAAAATTATTGCGAGCTCAGATTCAGTCCTGGATGATCTAGCTTCCATATTACCCAGAATTAACTTGGACCTGTCGAAGGTGCTCTTTAGCCTACAACAAAGGGTTGTGTAAAGGACACGCAAATTGTCAAAATACAAAAGAGTACCAAAAAAAGAGAGCAATGAGAAGAAGCCAAGTTGAAAGACTCAGTCAAAGTGTCAACGGGAGTATGTACTTACAGACAACAAAAATAACATGTTTGCGAAGATAAAGCTGGTGGATGTTGTAATGGACCAGCGATAGCGATGACTGGTGCAGTGTTAGAGGCTTACAAAGTAACCCAATTCCTCGGGGTCGAGGAAAACTATTGAGAGGAGGGTAAATAGAGAGGAAAATATGGAACGATTTTATTGCACCGAGTGGAGCTGCTCTATACATAGTGTGGACTGAACCTTAGTCCTAGTGCGTAGAAGTAAGTATACAATAATTTAAGGATCAAAATAATAAGTATCTAAATATTCTAAGATGTTTCCCGAACAAGAATTTCAACAATACCTCGGTAATACCTAATATCAGTGTTACTGTGTCTGCAATAGAGTTCCAACATCGAGACAACTGATTTTTTTTAATATTGATATAGTCTAACGACGCTAATACGATTACATCTTTGGCTCTCATATTTACTGACATTTAATCGATCGTTTTATCATAATAAAAAACAACAGCAAAAAACGACATATGATCTATCAAATACATTATTTTCAAATAAATATTAATGACTGGCGTTCTACAGTATACAGGGTGTAACAAATTATATATAATTTAGAGAGCAACGTTTCTGAAATATAGAACATTCAAGTTATATGAAATATAGTAATTTTTATTTGAATAAAACTCTAAAACTTATAGACCATACTAGGCCACTT